TAACAACCAAAACATTTATCACTGAAGTATGATGACGTATAGACATGTAACAACCAAAACATTTATCACTGAAGTATGATGACGTATAGACATGTAACAACCAAACATTTATCACTGAAGTATGATAACGTATAGACATGTAACAACCAAAACATTTATCACTGAAGTATGATGACGTATAGACATGTAACAACCAAAACATTTATCACTGAAGTATGATAACGTATAGACATGTAACAACCAAAACATTTATCGGTTAAACAAAAAAGGGCTTATTTGATGGGCATTTCTATTTAATAGTATCATGATAAATGTTTGGCACAATATACACATATAAGTACAATTTGGTGGTTTTAATATATTAAGGTTTTCTTTCAGAGCTAACTATTACTGATTTACACCAATAGATGGCATCCTCTTAAAGACCGTAAGAATAGCAAAGGATTGTGATATAAAGGCTGGTAAGAATATACAGCACGTGACCTTGTTGTTCTTTGCGTACAGGTGACTTCCAGATATCCGCTTTAACATATCATCAATATAAAACAGGTCACAAAATAATATGGGACCAAATTCTTCTCCTACACCAACTAAAGAAAAGACTGTTCATAAACTATAAAAATAATAAAAACAAATAATATCTCACGAAACCGTGATAATGGCCCTAGCAACATCAGCCGTATTTGGCGAGGTCTACTCACCGTTCATACGCTTGACCAGACTTGACCTTTACCTATATCCTTTCACCTGCTGACTCCATTTCCATCACATTTCGCCCCCCCCCCAGTGGCACAACGGTATGTCTGCGGACTTACAACGCTAGAATCTGGGTTTCGATACCCGTGGTGGGCAGAGCACAGATAGGCCATTGTATAGCTTTGTGCTTAATTACAAACAAACCATCACATTTAATCCCTGTGTCTTTTGTCAGTATTGATTCATGAAATCCCTGAGCGCACCAGAAGATTACGAAAGGGAAATATGATCCTGCAACCCGAAACTACGGACGACCTTAGCTTAGATACATATGCCAACCCACCCGTAACTTGCCAGTTTTCATAGTTTTTTTTTTACCAATCCTTCACCACTGAAGAAAGTCATCAAGTCCTCAAAATAACTACACACTCACAAAATTCACGCAGACCACCGGATCATATCAAGAAAACCTGGAAATGCCTTCACATTTTTATAAAAGTCATCACAACATCCAATCAGACAGCGGAATATAAGTCAACACAACATCCATCAGACAGCGGAAGACAAGTCAATTAGGCTTCGGAATACAAGTCATCACAACATCCAATCAGACAGCGGAATACAAGTCAACACAACATCCAATCAGACAGCGGAATACAAGTCAACATAACATCCAATCAGACAGCGGAATACAAGTCAACATAACATCCAATCAGACAGCGGAATACAAGTCAACACAACAACCAATCAGACAGCGGAATACAAGTCAACACAACATCCAATCAGATAGCGGAATACAAGTCAACACAACATCCAATCAGATAGCGGAATACAAGTCATCACAACATCCAATCAGACAGCGGAATACATTCTTTCGCACGGCTGCTTCATGGACTTCTTCCATTTTAAGGCAGAAAAACCGTAAATAGTTAGAAGGACCTTTCTAGACGCTCTCAAAAGAAATGTCGCGTGAGATTAATAAATGAGGATAATAAATGGTTTGATTATAAAATATTAATTAATTGTAATATTAATTAATATGGTGGAACTTGAAGTCATACGGGCTCGTGGTCCGATAAAATAAAAATTCAGTGTGTTATAAAGAAGACACAGAGAAATGTGTTGCTTCAATGGTAAATAAATCATTTTTTGAAGGTTCTTCCTAATCTTTACCTTTCTTTGTCTCTAGACAGTTTCAATCCAAATAAACAGCCTAGCCGTTTCCTCATGGGTACTTGGTGGGTGTTCGTCGTCACAATAATTGCAGCTTATAGCGGCACTCTGACGTCATTCATGACAAACCCTGGAACCCAGGAGCCTGTAGACACTATTATAGAATTGGTTGACGCTATTCAAGCAGGAGAGTATTCCTGCGGCACCATCAAGGACTCTTCTGACCACGATCTCTTTAAGGTGCCCCGATTTGTTTTCTTTTTTGGCAAATTCAACTTATCTGAAAATTATATTATTAACTTTTTGACATTAGTTTCATATTACTTAGTTTTTGTTTTTTTATACGAGTTTCGCTATTATTTCAAGTTCGGTTTACTACCTATCGTCAAAAGTCATTAAAGGTGTCTTACAAATATAGATAACGATTCAATTAAAACATTAATATATATATATATATATCTTATATAAATATTGATACACTGATTCAATTATATATATATATTGTTTATTTCTTCTCGTTTACGACCTAAACAAGCGTGGATCTTCAAATCTGTGGATTTTTCTCAATAGAATCCTCATTCCGAAGCGTTTAGCGTGATCCTAAAGAGCATGGAATCGGATCCAGACAACTTCGTAAAGAGAGACAAAGAAGGTTTGGCCAAGTGCCTCAAGAAGAAATATGCTTACATTGCAGGTCAGCTGACGGTCGAAGCGGACATAGAACACGTCAGAAAGTTCCGGTTCGCTAAAGATAATTTCCAAATTTCTGGTTACGGAATGGCACAGCAAAAAGGATTTTATTTTAGGACTGCTTTTGACAAAATGTATGTTGATAAGTAGTTTGTATTTTT